TTTTTTTATAGAAATAAAATGTTTTAAATTACATAATATATAGTAAAATAGGTTAAAAAATATGAAAATATTACTTTATATCATGTAATTTAAACTTTAAAAAGAGTTGCTCAAATAATAAGAAATTATGTGAACCTTCCTAGAGTACAAACTCAATTCTATACCAATATATACCGAGAGGCAATACTGCTCCCGTATTTCTTCATTTTTGACATACCACAGCAAGCCGCAAGGAATAGATTCCATATTTAAGTTTGCTAGAAAGAAATAAGTTCCAAATTCATTGAGTAAGTATTTATGCATTCTAGTATATTCCATCAAAATTTAAGGGATGTATTTTTGGTTAAAAATTTGAGTCATAATTTAAATTTTTTCTTGTGATGGGTAGCAGAATTTTGGAAAATAGAGGACCGTATTTCTTGTTGCACAACTCACCCAAAATCACCTCATCAGCATTCCTCTGTTAAGTGATAGATAAAATGTGAAAAAAAATTAATGTAATATTTTTTTTATTAATTTAAAATACTACATCTTTTATATTTCGAGATACAATATATTTTTTTTATATTTTGTATGCACATAAAAAAAAAAGCACAATTGTTGTAATAATAATAATAATAATAAAAGAAGCTAATTCAACCTAAGGGTAGGTTACCAAGAAAAAATAAAAATAAAAAATACCAGGAAAATTTAATGGTTAAAATTTTCTTTTTGGGTTTTTCTATTATAGTATATATTTACATTTCCTTTATTCGATTTTTCTCCCTTTTTTTTTCTTTTTTTTTTTTTCTTCCACACTATGTTCATTGAATGATGATTTATAATTGTATATGGTTGAGGGTGGGCGGGGATTAAAGAGACTACAATGGTGGGTGGGAATCGGAACTGAAAAGCAGCGGTGGTGGCTTCCTTCCTGTCCTCACCTCTTTTTCCGTCAATGTCTCCTTTTGCAATTAGAAAAAAGACGGATGCTTTTCCCAGATTTAATTTCCAAGTTTCAGTCTTGGAATCTCAGCTCCCAATTCACGCCGACCCAAATGAATTCTTCGATTTCCCATCCCTAATTTCGCTAACTGTACCTTTCTTTGCTTCCTAATTGCCTTTTTCTTTCTCAGTTTACGCTCGAATTTTGAAGATCGGAGCTTTCTCTCGCTAACATAGCTCGCCCGGTAATCATCAATTCCGTTCAATCTCTTCATTTTCTTTTGTAGCTCAGCTTTTCTATGCAACCCAATTGCTGTTCTTCTGCTTCTTTCATGCATTAGTTACATTTTTGCTTTTAATTATCTGTGTTTGTTTGCATCCAAAATTTGTTAGATTTGTTGCCGGCAGCTTAGATGCTGGTTTTGATGGGATCTTTGTTTGTTCTGTAACCATTTGCTTCCTGTATAAAGTGCTGTGCTGTTTGTGACTCTTATCTTTTTTTTGGCATTTGTGCCCTGTATTAGAGATTCATTCATGGATTGGTTGAGTGAAGAAAACAATATTAAACGTAGAGATTGGTGGGGTTGATTGTAATTCTAATGGGTAGGTTGATTTCCTAATTACCACCAACCACCACACCTTGCTCAATTTTCACGTTTGTGAACCAGAAATTGATTTTATTTTATTTTTCTCAAAAATTTCTTGTTTTTGGTTATTGTTCTTCTGTTGTTGTTTCTAATCTGTAACCCTTGTCTTGGCACCTTTTGCATCTTCATGTCTTTCTTATGAGTGAGCTTTCCCACTTATATTCTGCTTTTCTTAATTCTCTGACCTTTTCTCCCTGTTCAGATGGATGCAACCCCAGAAATACTGTATCAGAATTTGCCCGCGAGCAATGGCCAGGCTGCTTTTGTAGTTGACCATTCTAGCCAGCCCCAGCCATCAGTCTGTGTTCTTTGCAGAAGAATCCTTGCACCTGATAATCATGCAGCCAGCGATCTTGAAACTGTTAGTTTCTGTGGGGACTGCCAGTTTTTGTTACTTGAAGATCTCGCTAATCCAATGCAAGGCTCTAGTCGGAGGAGACACTCTTCTAGATCAAGAAGGAACAGGCCAAGCAGTTCTGAATCAGTTGAGGATCTTTTCTCACAACGATTCTCACATATGATTAATATGGTGAGGCGGAGTCAGTCCACTTCCTCTTGGCTTGGGGATCAAGCTCCAGAGGGTGATGCTGCTTCAAGGTCATTACAGCACACTAGTTCACATACAACTCCAAGTGATTCTAGGAGATGGCGCCGTGTACTCTCTGACAGTGAAAGTGATGCTTTTGATAATCTGGAATCCCTTTATGGGGATAGTGAATCAAATGTTAGTTTCAGTCAATACAGGGTTTTCCATGGTGACAGCGATGCAGTTTCTTTTAGTGCCTATGGAGGGGACTCTGATGATGGCCACAGTTTCCTGGATGCAGAAATATTTGTCCATCCAGATAATGGAAGTAATTTTGACAGTGACAGTGATATCGATCCAATGCATGCAGGTCTGAACCAGTGGAACTGGGATGATCCAGGAGATGGTGAAGGTGAAGAAGATGGTGAATGGGAAGAAACTGGTAGTGAAGAAGAAACAGTTGCGATTACAGTATCAAGAGCTGGAATTCCTAATGCAATTATTTCAAGACCAAGGGAAATAAATTTTCCAGCTAACAACTTCCCTGTCAGGTTGCATCATCCTCGAGGTTTCCAACAATTGCTTGACCACCTTGCTGAGGCTGACAGCTCAAGGATGGGAGCACCTCCTGCATCTGTATCTTTTGTGAGAAATCTGCCTCGTATAATTGTGAGTGAGGAACATGAGAAACATGATGGTTTGGCCTGTGCAGTCTGCAAGGATTCATTAAGTGTTGGTACTGAAGTAAACCAGCTTCCCTGCCTCCACCTCTATCACCCTTCCTGTATCTTGCCATGGTTGAGTGCACGAAACTCATGTCCCCTTTGTCGCTATGAGCTTCCCACTGATGACAAAGATTATGAAGAGGGAAAGCAGATTGTTAATAGTAGGGTAGAGATGCATGAAATCCAGGAGCAATATGCGAGTGAAGATGGTTATTCGGACAACTCTTCTGAAGCAGAAGAAGTTTGTGAACTTGGTCCATGTGTATCAGGGAGAAGAGGGGTCCCAGATGTTGATGCCACCATGAATACCCCTGTCAGGGAGGGTGGTGCAGATTGGCTATTCCATGCTGCTGCTCCCATTGTTAGTATTGTGGGTATGGTTCTTGTATTATGGTTAAGCAAACCTCTAATTAGAGGAAGAGGATCGACTAGGCGTTGCAGTCTCCCTGTTTATGATCGGCATCCAATTCAAGGTTCTAGTCCATCCCCTCTGAACCAAAGGGGGAACAGGGGCAGGAGATGGTTTTTCTTTTGAGCAGTTTCATTAATCTGGTAGATAAATGTAATGACATGTGTTAGGGTAGTTCACTCACGGTGTTATTGGTTCTTCATATTCGTATTTGTGAATGGTTGTATTTCAGTGTATTGGTGAGTGCATGAGAATGCCAATCTCTGCTTCTAGTTTTCAGTGCATTATTGCATCAGGAGTGGAAACTGGAAAATAGCTTTAGCTTCCTTTAAGTGTGCAGTGCTTACCTCAGATTTCTTGCAATTCAACTGGAATTTTATTATCAATGAAAGTTGATATGATTTACCTTCATTTATATCTGCTCGGTAATGAACAACTGCTGCTCATGAACAACTGGGAAAGTAGCATTAACTGAGTGGTTATAGCAGTTAAGTTTGCATGGCAGAAGGTGTTTTTGCATATATGTCCATACATTTTTGGGAACTCTCAAAAAATGCATGTCCTTGACTACAACTTTTCCTGTATCATGCTACCACAAAAATTATAGTAGCATTTGAATAATTATTTTTAAAAATGATTGTACATTCTTACTAAAATATAGAAAATATATTAATTAAAATTAATTTAATTATAGCAAAATTAACATTTTTAATAATGTGCTGTGTAGTAATGTGTGGCAGAAAAGCAAAATTCAATTGTAGTCTTCCTCATTCACCATCTACACTGAACTGGAAGTAAAACCTCCTCAGAGGTAGCAGATAACTGAATCAGTCTCAACCAGAAAATGAAATTGGTAAATGCCTCTTAACGGGATCTTATTAACACAGCCGCTATATGCTAGTCTCCATTTCCTCCCCAAGAAAGAATTTTGTGATTCTAAACTATCTACTAATTGAGCAATTGACACAAGTTTTGACAGGGCACATTGATAGCAAGGGGAAGATATTTCTAGCTCGGAGCTGGAATGCTGCAGTCCTAAAAGAGTATGCTCAAATAGAGAACGATCCACCCTGCCATGGAGATAACTGAAAAAATATGAACCCAGAAGAGGACAGCAGCAGCATCCCTTCCGCACCCTCTTAAACTAGCAACGGCACCTACACACACCAAGTGGACAAGGAGTGAGTAAACAGATGCCATTCTCTTTATTATGTTACTGGACAAGAGATTAAAACGATGTTAGCTTGCATTGTTTCAATTCCAGCTCAAAATTTTTTCCCTAATTTAACCTTTCTTTATTATGCCTATTACCCTGAAGCTGGCTGTACCAATTGGTGACGTAAACATCTGGTATCATTCATATTAAAGGATATTTCAAGGTAGAGAAATGGACTCTGTTTAATTAACCATAAAAAAACAAAAATGCTGTTTACCGGCAAGGACAGATGTAGGCATTGTATACTGAAGGAGTAGGACAAATTTGAACATCTTGTCACCAGCAGGGAGGAAGCCAAGCTTATCAGCCAAGTTTACAATGCTAAGTCCTACAGGAGGCACCACAAACAAACGCGCAAAAACAATAGCAGCAGTTGTGCGGAAACCAAGTTTTGAAATTCCTGGTCCTGCAAGCAAAATATTGAATGTCAAGAATTGAACAAACCTCTCTTTCGTAAAAACTCTTAGGCATGTATACAATGATATATGTGCAACAAGAAACTAGCTTACCATCAATAAGGTTGCCTCCCAATGCCAACAAAGTGCACGGTATCATAGCGTCCCTGTTTATCAACAAAAATATTTTAAAAGAATAAAAGATTAAATGTGTTGCATTGCATAAATCATATCGTCATAACATTTATCATCAAAATTCAAATAATATTTTAGAAGGTTCAAAGAAGAAAATGTTACAGACAATTGACTCTTCCTAGTCCCTTCTAAAAATTCTTTCATCACCATTAAATGTCAGCCAGCCCACAATTCATAAGTTACAAGCAGTACCAAAGAAATGTTTAGTACATAGATCTAGCAGAAATAACTAATTCTAGAAATAAAAGGTTAACAGAAATAAGAAGCAAGTCATATACTTCACATAAAACTGAATACATACCCAAGGATACTGCAGCTGTCTGCGAAGAAGAAAAGTGGAGCATCGGTTGTAAATATTAAATGCTTAAAAACTGGCACCACACCAAGTACGATGGCTAGGATCTGCAGCAAACACAGTAATAGCAATTTAATGGCAACTTAAAAGAAAAGGAAGTAATTAAAAAGGCAACCCAAGACAATTTTGAGAAAAAGCACACTTTTTAAGAAAAGTGAGATATAGCCGGTCTCCTAAAAATGAATTTCCAATTGTTGAAGAATGGAACCATTCAGCTACGCTCATAACTACAGTGTTAAGACCTTTCTCTGGCACTTTTCAACTTATAATTACAGAGGTCCAATTGGTCATTGCTTCACCAAAACTCAGATTTGAGATATGATAGGGAATTCACCATTACGGGATGGGGTAGTTTTCCATTCTTGTTTTTGTGATTTCTATGCAGTTTACCTTTTAGAACATAAGTTCTTCACGAATGAACATGAAAATAATAACATGATGAGAAACTTACTGAAGCAATAATAGGCGGCTGAAGGATTTGCTTGAGCTTCAACTTGTCATAAAGGAAAACAAAAAATTCTTTAAACTGCAACAGAGTAAAATGAACAATTTTCAAATCTTTAGTCAGTAAAAGTTTCTCTCAATTGATGTATATCCATATTATCATATAATCTGTATCTAGGATTCCAGTGAAGTTTAAAAGCAAAAAAGCATAAAACTGAACAAAACAAATAATATTGGATCTCACCTTTCCACTAGTTGAGTTATTTGACTCTCTAGGTTCAGTCTCCTGGGTCAGCAATGGAACTTGCTCAGGTGAGATGTCCTTTGGGTTATTCTTCATGGGAAGACTTGCCTCTTCAACATCAAAGGTACCTTCAGGGGGTGGGGCCAACATACGAAATACATATGTGTTGAGGATGATTGCACCAACCTAGCATACACTTACAAATCAAAACACATTCCTATAGTATCTGCCATCTCATTAAAAATGGGAATACCCACAAAAAATCTAAAGACGCTACCAAATATAAAGAAAAAGCTCTTGACAAACCAGATCAAAATTCTTTTTTTTGGTCATTAAACAAATCACAATTTAGCATAGCAACTATATACTTCATGCCCTGTACAGATTTATAAGCAAACCAACCAGTAAGATTTCAAGAGGATAAAAGAAACTGAAGCCCAAGGAGTTTGTTTTCAAAAGGTAGATAACAACGATATCTAAATGTTAAAGAAACGTTTGATTTTAATTCCTTTTTATCCTTGTATTTAAGGTTTTTATTGAGGAAGGGAGAAAGGGAAGGGAGGCTGAACAACAGTACATGATTTCCACTGCAAGGCTTGTGTCTCAGTTTTTTATTTCTATATATGTTATTACACATGACTCACTAAGAACTAGTAAGAATGAATGGTTCTAGCCACCAATTTCTTCCATTCTCCACCAAATGTCGCACTAATATTATAGACAATGCAATGGCAGGAAAATGCAATCAGATTTTTTCACCAGAGCAAAATAAAAAGTTTGAGAGATAAGAGCATAACACACTCAGCAACTAAAATGTCTACATTTGATCAATAGACATGGCAAACCTACCCACTGTCCAAAGGAAATATAGGCAGTTCCATCCGTGCTACACTGTTCAGAGTCACCAAAAGGATTGGACTCTTCACTGCACAAAGCTGAAATTATTACAAGTGGTATATTCCCAATATTTCCTGCATCAATTTTCAAACACATTAATGATTTAATGTCTAGTTGTCAAGACATAAGAAGCACAAATCCAAATAGATCAGGCTGAAATTTCATAAAAATTTAGTACTTTTCACGTCAGTTCATTTAATAGCTTTGGGGCATTCAATTTGAGAGACAACAGAAATTATGCATAATCTAGTTAATATAGAAATGTCTAGAATAAATGGGATGTTAAGGTAAAAACACATTTCTTTGAAAAGGTGGCTTACCTATTGCAATCTGTATGATTGTGAACTTGAAGAATGGGTATGGAGGACGAACAATGGTTGCAGTAATTAAACCTATTAGTGAGCCTAAGATGGTAGCCAGAACAACATTCACAGGAATGAACCACCTGCCATGGGATTAAAAAGAAACAGACAAAAACTAAGATGAATTTTGTTAACTTGTACAGGCCTACACACAGATAACAACAAGGACCTGTTCTTACCATTCAAGCAGTTTCTTCCAAGTAATAGCTTCGCCAAGTTCAGAGAATATCAAACAGGGAAGCAAAAGTAAAAAAACCAACTGCATTGAAACATTAGGAATTTTATTCAGTATAAGCAACCTGAAAACTAAAATTAGATCAGACAATTTCCCATCATCCAAACTCAGTGGGTCTGGAATTTTTACAAAAAAAAATTCATGAAATTCTAAGTATTTCTTTCCCTCATGAGAAGATAATAAGGGATTAAAAGAGAAGTAATTCGATGCGTTTACCCCATTTAAAAGCCGCCGGCCGCTGGCAGGCAAGACTTTAACGTACTTAGAGGCCATCAGGAACCCCAAAAAACAGATGGTAAAAACTTTTACTATCGGTATTACAGCTATCTTTATGCTCTGCCACACCGACTCTCCTCCGACGGCCGCCACCGCGGTCACAAGCCTTTCCATCTTTTCCACAATTAACTTCTTCCAGTTAGCTCCAGAAATCCAAAACCTCCGCACATTCACTAGAACATGGTGATTTCCGACTACTGAGGATCTAATTCTAATCTTGATTGCACAAAAATTCCTTAAAAAAAAAAATTCTGCTTAACTTCCACTTAACAGCTTCTCACTCCCCGGAATATTCATCATCCCAGTCAACACTACAAACAACAAAAAAACCAAAACGAAAACCAAATCAACATCAATGAAAACGATTTCTCATTAAAAAAAAAAGTTCATGTTATTATCTGAGGAAACACAGAATTGAGAGGATTATGAATTTCGAGATGAATAGAGAATATACAGTCAATAAAAAGAAGACGGATAGATTAATGGAGGGAGGAATCCGAACAAAATGTGGAATGCAACGGCGACGGAGGGCTGTCGAATCGCCAGTAATACTCCACCTTGAGTTCTGTGGTTAGTTATTTTAACTTCCAATCAAAGAGATCGTGAATTGCATTTCCAAATATAAGAAAGGAAGATGCATCGTTTTTGGTGAGACGTAAAGAGGGGATGAGTTTACGGAATTGCCCCTAAGTTTTAGTCTAATAACAAAAATAGTATTCCGTAGAAACAAGACTTAATCAACAAGAGAACAAACTCTTTGCATTCCCCCTTGCTGCAGTGGCGGCTGTGTCACTCCAAAGTGTGAAGTAGATGAAACATATCTTGATTCACAGGTCATGTTTGCCATGCATCTCCAAAGTATGAAGTAGGTGAAACTTATTTCGATCCATAGGTCATGTTTTAGGTTTGATTTTTCTTTGATAGATATTAATTTTTGCATTTCTAGCTGTAGTAGTAATCATGTTTCCCTAAAGTGTAAAATATGTGAAATGTATTTCGATTCATAAGTCATATCGGTCATATTTATCCAAAGTGTGAAGCAATTAAACATATTTTGATCTATAGGTCATGTTCCAAACTTGATTTTCTTTTGACAGATATTAATCTAACATTATATTTTCTTTAAAAAAAAAAAAAA